ACGCGCACGCGAAATTAGTGGATCAAAATGGCTGCCATACCCGCGCGTTGAATCGAACAGCTTTATTAGAGTAAGGCTAGTTGCTAAATAACATGACGCTCCCTGTAAGGTGATGTGGCACTGTTGTGCTGGTGAAGTTTTCTCACAGTTCCTAAAGTGACTCGACAATAAAGGTAAGAATTGAAAACGCCATTAATATTTCTAAGAAACCTTGTTAAAATATCACATTAAGATTCTATTCTTATATCAAGGGTTAATTTTGGCTCCAAAGCAAACAAAACGCACTATATTCATGAAAAAACCACCATTTCTAGAATGGAAGTAGCAAGTCTGACAGAGTTTCACGTATTTCCCCTTTTTATGCTTATTACATTTTCTTTCATGGCCATTTCTTCGGTTGTCTTAGTCAGTTCCAAAAATCAAAAGTGGGGTAGCAAAATTGGTAGAGGTCGCTATCACCTTAGTTCGGATCACTGATGGCTGAAGGTCACTGTACAAACCAGCTCAGGAGCTTGAGATTAAATGCGTGACACTGTTAAAACACTCTTCAAATATTAACTGACGATCAAAAGTTCTTTTTCGATGCACTTTATTAAGCCATTTCAAAGCATGCCATCACCGCTCTTTTATAAGGTTTTTAGTTACCCACTAATTTAACTTTTTCTACTACATTTCAAAACAGCGCAAGTAAACTAAACTATGAAAGGCTTCGTTTTCTTTCACAGCTCACTGTATTGTTCAGCTACTGTGGCTTAGGGACTTCCTCGATAATGATTCGAGCCACTGAGTTGTACCCAGTATACGCATCAGAACCGCTTTTGAAACCTGGGCAATCTCCGACAGCCAATCCCACGCGTACGGTGCCTTTACCAATCCCCTCACAGTATCCCCCTATCTGACTGTGCTTGTGTACGTTGGTGTCTGTTTTGCCGTGATTAGTAGCAAGAACATCGATCGCTTCGATAGTGATTGGTTTAGAACACTCCACGCCATTGAAGGTGAAATACCAACGCTTGCAGCAGTTCAGGCAACAACAAATCCGGAAATCTCCATCATACTCCACCTTCAATGCCGTGTCTTGGTTTTTCTTCACAAAGACACAATCCTAGAATGACAGATAATGATGGAAATTTAGAAAGATTTAACATTGAATCTCGTACTGTAATTTATGAATTAATACTAATTCTAATCACCAAGCTGCTCAACTTGCTCTTGAAACTTAATTGGCTCTATGTTTGGTGCATCTTACAAGACGCACCAGCCGAGATACAGGCAGCAACTTTAAAAAATAAATAAATAATTAAAAATAATAATTTGTATAACACTCAACCTCGCAACCTCGTTTTCAGGATTTTTTCCAAGCCCTGGGAACGAGGTTACGAGGCTGAATAATACTCACAAATACAATGACAATTCCTCTAAATGAGAATAAAACAACACAAACAAAACAAACTGTTGCTTAGCCGCAAACACGAAATAATTGCTTAACCCCGCATATTCAAACAATTTAAAGTACATAACCCACCTATAACGTGTACCTTCCATCTAAGAAGTCATACTGTCTTCAGTAAATATAGAATTACTGACCTTTATCAAACCGTAATCCCTGCCATCGTTCAGTTTGCTCCAGACGCACTGTTTCCAGTTCCTCTGAGGGACCACAGCCGAGGGGCCCTGTTCGCCCTTGTCGCCCTTGGTTCCTTTAGGCCCCATTTCTCCAGGTGGTCCCACAGGCCCCTGGCTTCCTTCGGGTCCTTCAGGTCCCATTTTACCGGGTGCTCCCACAGCTCCTTGGTCACCCTTGGCCCCATCATGTCCGTGTAGCCCGGGCACTCCAGGGACACCTGGGACGCCACTGGCCGGACAAGTCGACTTGCTCTTCAAAGTTAAGATAAAAACGCAATCACTAAAACATTATTTTTCTTTCCTGTGCATTTTCCATACATTCATTCTGTTGCCTTCTCGTTCCTTCCCGAAATTAATGTCACATTGTCTTAAAGCTGGCGTGCCAAAAACGATTTTAAATTTAGAGCCCCAATCCCATAATCGAGAGGAATCTTGTAAGCGAGTGTTAAACTAACACCACACATTTTCTCGTCGGTAAATTTTGTGGGAAATTGTAAGGAAAATGAAACAGGCAAAATCTATCTCTTTCTGGATAGTTTGACTCGTTGTTCGCTTTTCCAACTTGCAAGATCTGTGTTCATGTCATCTGTCAAACCACCAAGCAAGGTGTATTTACGTCTTTTAAAAATCTAACGCGTGGCGAGTTTTCTGAATGCACTTGGTTTTGCCAAGCGAAAGAAAGTGGATGAGTTTGAGAACTTACCGGATGGTCGGCGGAAAACACCAAGTGTGGTATCACACATCCCACAACACAAAAAAAGAGGACGAAACTCATTGTTCCAGCCTTTTCTTGTTAACTGCCAATACGTTCTGTTCAAAACAGCTGAAAGAAAGAAACGAGTGTTACGTGCAATTGTTTCGAGATGAGAAATAGAGCAAAGATGAACTTCAGCCCAAATTTCCAAGTAACTCGCTTTCGTTTTTGAATGTTTTCGATCAGACTCGTCTCACGGTTGTGCAACAGTAAAGCTACCACGGTCTGTGCTCGCCGAGGCACTTAACCAGTTCACAACAGAGAATGTTTGTGAGTCAGTTATATCATCAGCTTCTAATTGTCACATATAACTAATAACAACACAAGAGATTTCACTTTAGCATCAACCACTCTACTGTTGCGTTTGAAGGGGACGGAAAGAGTGGACACCGACTTCGAGAAGCTTCTTATAATTGTTAAGGCCTTATGGCAGTCTCTTATCCGTTATCGTGCAGTGTTCAGGGCCACCGGAGACCACACAACGACCTAGCGAAGGGACCATTCTGATGATGGTGCCCTTATCGTGACTATATATTTTCAACGTGATGCCTCTTTTACAATGTTTTACAGGGAGAAAAATTCTTCAGTTGAGCCAACAGGAAAACCTGGACAACTGAATTATTTGACATTGATCTTAATCCTATTTTCGAATTGATGTCGTTGCCGAACATCTGAGTTTATCCAACTACTGGAAAAAGATGACAGGGTGGAAACTCAGTATTTCACTTACCAGTGTGTGTTGCTTATGTCTTTATGGCAATCCCAGTCTGCTGTATTTGTGCAGCTGAAAACACTGAATAACCTTAAATTGGTTCGTTATATTGATTGTTCTAATTCAATTAACGTCGAGCAATTTCTCTGCAATGTTTCACACGACTAAACGTTTAACGCCTGAAGTGACAATTTTCGAGGGATTACAATACTCGGTCTCGATTTGTATTATGCGTGATAGTTGACTCGGGCAGCACACTCGTCAACTATTACGCGATAGAAATCTGAAGCTCGTAATCTGATTGTTAAATAGAAATTCCATTTTTAAACAATAAGGGCGCGTATTTTCTTTGGGCTATTTCCTAAATAATTTAAGCATCATGTTGGTAAATACGGATCCCTAATTTCGTTCATGGGTTTTACGCAGCTGACACTATCGTAGACTATTGTCCTGGTGAGCATGGTATCATAAAAGTGCAATATAGCTTTGCATAAGCTGTTAGTTATTTCACTCAACCAGCATCTTTGCTTTGAGCGAATACAATCAAGCTGAGTACCATGAGTTAGTTTTTCTGATATTAATTAGAGGTTGTCTATTCATGAACGTCAATAAACATTTTTTCTTTGCGTAACAAAATATTAATTTTCAGTTTTGTTTAGGTTTTGATGCGTCATATCCTTGACATGTCTTGCGAAACTTTCTACCTGATGGATTTAAACATCTATGATTATCCGAGACTGTCTCAAAATATTTGAAATGTTTCTCGTAAAAACCATTAGACAAAAATAAGTCAGTATATTATAACTCATGGGGTATGTCTGTGGTGGTTTACTTAACCTGCAAAACTTAATGCATTTGGTTATGGTCAAGTGCAAAATCTTGAGAATTTGAAAAAATAGCCTCCACTTTAAATTAATTGCTCCTTTTCAGAAAGGAATGCAATTTGAGCAATAGATTATCTTGTGCGCTTGTTCTGCTTAAAACGTACCTAACCAAAAGGCCACAATAGAACGTGTTGTATGACTGTCACCCAGGCTAAGCGAAGAGCATGATTTGAAGTCTTTTAAACATGATTCTGTGATGAAACTGGACAATTAGGGAATTCGCAAATCATTTTCACACGTGCGATGATTGGCACACGACTGACATATCGTAGGAGTTTTAATTTAAGGGCGATTGTACATATGGGTGAATGTGCGTTATCAAGATGCCTTTCTATGTATTATTTTTAAAAGGTCACAGGGCCTGACCTGTTCTTCCTTTGACTACTGTATTCCTGCGCGAATGTAACTGGGGGAGACTGTTTCAAGTTTTCAAGCTGCCATAAAATCTTTGCTTTACGGTTTAAGAGCCTAGAATTTTTCTTCCTTCGTAATATTTTACCCCTCTTTCTATCTCCAGTAGTTATAGGCCAGTAGCTTCCTTTTGTAGTGATTTAAAATAACGGAAAACATTTCTGGAGAGCAGAGCTTCCTCACTTCCATACAAAACCTCATTATTTTTGTAATATTCAAATGGTCATTAAATCTCAACCTTACGCGGCCGGCATTGGTCTGAAAATTGGTGTTGTAGCTATCTAAGACATGATCTTTACAGTTCTGAAATTCATGTAGCTGTAGTTAAGAGTTTTGAAATTATCAGTCACGTTACCAATTGTTGCAAAAGGCCTAATGGGTTTTGGTTTTACTTCTGACTGGATGACAGCTGGATAAATTCCCATCTGTATAACTAGCAAATACACAGACCACTAAGAAACAATCCTGCCACTTCAAAAAGGCTCCTGTGAAATCGGAGGTGTATCAGTTGAAAATGACATTTATCCTAGTAAGTTTACAGAGTTAACTGAAACAGGACACTCGAAGGTACCTCTCACTTTTATTTTGAAAATCAGGCACAACAATTAATGAAATCTTTGAAAAAAAAATTTAATCGCCATTTATCGTAACCTGTCTCAAATTTACGTTAACTACAAACAAACTTGTTTATGATAATAATAAAGACACCTGACAGCGAAGGAAACAAGATGCGCGAGCAAATTTGACGGCAATGTTGCAGCTCCCTGAAACTCAGCTCCTAATCAGTTAAACATTATAACTTGTACATGAGAAAAGAAAATTGACTTGTAGCGTCGATCTGTCTTAATTATGGTTGGGAAGGTGGAACCTCCTCAATCAAAATACGGCTCACAGAGTTATAACCGGTAAATGCCGGCCCAGCTTTTTTACCCACGCAATCTCCTGTGTGAAATCCCACTCTGACTGTGCCCCAGGAAATTCCCTCGCAGTACCCTGCAATATATCCAGTTTTGTGTATGTTCGTGTCCGTTCTACCGTGGTTGTTAGCGATGTGGTGCACACCATCTATAGCGAG